TTTCCTTCAGGCCCCCCTTAGAGGTTGCCAAGCCTAGGCCTGCCAGCACTTTAGGGTTTCCAGTTTCCCCCCCTGGCCACCGACAGGGGATTCTGGATAAGGTTGCCAGGTCCAGGCTGGGAAACTCCTGGAGATTTGCGGGAGGAGCCTGGGGAGGACAGGGACCTCAGTGGGGTACAATGTCACAGAGTCCACCCTCCAAAGCATCCATTTTCTCCATGGGAAGTTATCTTTGTAGTCTGGAAATGAGCAGGAATTACAGGGGATCCCCAGGTCCCACCTGGAGGCTGGCATCCCTCGGCAGCACCCTCTGGGTGACTTGATACCACCTGATTTGCATGACTCAAGTAGGCCCAGCTGCTTGCTACTGTTCATCAGCAGCCACCCTATGAAAGCTGGGTTGTTGTGCAGATTAAAAGTAGGAGAGAATAATGTAAGCTGTTTTGGTCCCCACTGTGGAGAAAAACTGTAATTTTCCTAGGTAGAGGCTGTGGGGGAGGGGTGTGGAGATGGAAAGTTGCAGACAGAGAGGCAGATAAAGGTAGGTTGGCTGTTGGGTGGGAAGGAAATTGTGTTGCCAACTCCAGGTTGGGAAATTCCTGGACATTTGTGGGGTGGAGCCTGGGGAGGGTGGGATTGGAGGAGGGAAGGAACTACAGATCAGTATAATGCCATAGCTAGAGGAGAAAAAGAAAGGCGGGGCAGAAGGGAGAAAGAGTGTGAGAGAGGTAGAGGGAGACAGGAGGAAGCAAAGGTGTGAGGAACAGGATAACCATTCCGCAAGTTTCTTGCGGGTCTCCACTTGTATAGATCTAAGTCCCACTGTGATGACTGAGAACTCTGTTATTGGCAGGTAGCAGTGCCTGTCAAGCTTTGGAGGGTCCCTATTTGTGTTTCCACAGGTGGAAAACACCACCCCCACTGTTGTCTAGCATTTTCGTGCCAGAGTTTCTGGGTGTTTTTCATTTTTCGAGCCACCCCGAGCCATGCCCATAAGCTTGAAGATTTTGGAGACCATGGACGTGCCGAACGTCACCTCCCAAGCCCAAATCCAGCCCAAATTCGGCCTGAGTTTTGGCTCATCACTCAATTCGTACCCATCTCTCATGGCCTAGTCTCTTGACGACATCTCTCTTGAATGTTTTTCTCCCGTTGAAATAGCAGCTGAAATATTCGTTCAGCTCAGCACTCCCTCTTTCTTTAGCTTAAAGCAAGGGTGTCAAACATGCTGCCCGGGGGCCAGATCAGGCTCCTGGAGGGCTTCCATCAGGCCCGCAGTGGAACTGGCTGTCTTCTGCTTCTTCTTCCAGTTCTGCTGCTGCTGCATCATTGTAGGTTTGCAGTTTACAGATACACACCTGAACAGCATACTCAAGATTGCAACAGCACAGACATTTTGATGCAATAATTCAAAGCAAGAGGTGTCAGTTACCAGACACTGTAAAATAAACAAAATATTGCAAGAGTGCTAATGTTTTAAGCATGTTGTTATTTGAGGTAAAAAACCCACAACCCTTTGTGCTTGTGTCCTTTATAATGTTTATATCTCCACTACCTGGCATTACATTTTATGACACACATGGCCTGGCCCAACAAGGTCTCATTTATGTCAGATTCGGCCCTCATAACTAATGAGTTCGACACCCCTGGCTTAAAGTTTCAGTTTCCCGTAAATCAGCTCCCTTCTTGAAGCTGTCTTGGAATATCTCACAACATTTCGCGGAATAATGTGAATGCTATTTAATCTTGCACAAACAATCCACATACACATCCTCCCACCAGAGACTATTTAAGCCGAGAAAAGAAAACTTTAATCAAAGGACGTGGCTACAATCAAGAGGGGTAAGTGTTTCCATTTCTTCTGCTACATGTGGACAGTGTTCCAAAACAATTATTGCTGGGCAGAGACATTGGGTCTGGGACCGCCTTCTATCAGCTGTGCTTGAGTCACCAGCTCTCAGACTCAGTCAGCCTGGCAACCCTAATCCATGTTTTTGTAACTGGGCTACTGTAACATACTCTGCACAGGGCTACCTTTGAAGATAACCCAGAAACTACAAATAGTTCAGAATATTGATAGACGGCAACTTAAAGGAACATATTTCACTTGTTTAAAATTATATTACTAAACTAAATGCAATTTTGAGTCCTGGTTCATTTCCAAGTACAATTCGAGGTGCCAGTTCGACCTTGGTGTACAGCCAGTTTGGTGTAGTGGTTAAGAGCAGTGAACTCTGATCTGGAAAACCAGGTTTGATTACCCACTCCTCCACATGCAGCCTTCTGGGTGACCTTGGGTCAGTCACTGTTCTCTCAGAATTCTCTTAGCCCTCTCCAGAGTGGAAGGGGTCATGCTCGTGACCATGGGAGGATGCCATCACTTCCCCTGGTGCCAAGGGGTGGTGGGGGATGAGCACAGCTTCCCCCCAGTGGAGGATGCCCCCAGCACATCTCTCCATCTGTTGTGGGGAGAGGTAGTAAAGAGCAGGGTATAAAACCAACTCTTCTTCTTTAAAGCCCTTCAAGCATCATACGCAAATATCTGCCGGACTGCCTCTCCCCATATGTCCCTGTGCACCAGTTCTGCTCCTCCGATTGTAGCCTTCTGTTTGTTCCGTCTCTTAAGGTTATCTGCTTGGTATCTAATACAGCCCAGCCCTCTTTGATAGTGTCTCCCACCTTGTGGAACAGGCTACCTGAGGAGGTGAACCATCCCGAGAAGTTTCTAGGAGCCAGTGTAAGTACATTTGATTTGTTAGAGCATTTAATGGGTTGGGAGTTTCTTTTACATGTATTTTTATTGGGTTTTCAAACATAAAAAGAAGACCACAAAAAGTTTCACACAATAATAAACTAACTTACCATAAGCAATATGTTATGGGTTTCCTCCAAGAGTATCATTTAGCACACATGCTCAGTCTATCAAAGTGTTTTAACCACGAGTTATATACTTCATCAAAGTTACAAGTCTGATAATAAATTTAACTTGTTATTAACTTTCTGTTATTCCCTGTTGATCTACTTACTTTAAAAGTAAGTAGAATTTCACACTTTTAAAGAGCTTAAAGCAAGGGGACAATTGTTTTTCTACCTATTCTCTTTGAACAGTGACTCATCCCGTCCCAGCTGTGTCTCATTACACCATTAAAGTCATTTTGCCCGTATACTTTTCAATTACCCCACACCTTATTTACTAACCTAAAAGTTTTTCATATTGTCAGCCCCTACATATTTATTATCTTGCATATTCTCAGTAGCTAGCTAGTTTAATGTTTATTTAAGTAGCTTCTACATTATAAAATTGTAATATGCTCAGTCATTTCCTCCATACGGATGTAAAATGAAAGAAAAAAACCCCTCTTATCAGGTTACAAAATATTATAAAGTTTCCCATCAACCTATGGCTGGTAAGATATTCTTTACAAAATATAAAAAGTAATAGTTATTCCCTGGATATTTCCTTTAGCAATTATAAGTCCTTACTCACAAGGTATTATTTTCCCTTCTTCTGTTTTCCTGCTTCATAATATCTTACTTGCTAATCTATGAATTTTTACGCTGTATATTTGTTGTTGCCACCTAACAGAAAACACGTTTCACTATACTTAGTAACATCCATAAAATTAAGAAGGAAATACAAAAAAAAACTTATTTAGGGCAGCAAAAAAGAAACATATTTCTAAATTACAGACAGTATACAACATTCCATCATCTTTTTCTAGGAGGTACAATATATTAAATCTCATTTCCTTGTCAACAAACAGAGCAAATTACCAAGTTGCACCTAAGATGTAGCTTCCCGTCATCCCTTTATAACAGTTACAATCACAAATCATATTTTAATGCATTTTTTCCTCCTATTTTTCTATAACATCTTTTTTCTATGATTGTGTCCAAATGCATCATGTCTTTATATACATAAAGCTTTAGGATTTAGGAAAGGTCATTCTTGCCTGAACCATTGTTATACGCTGGCATCTTTGATTAGTAAATATACAAGGAATGCATCTGGCTCTTCATATACCGCTTTTATAAACCGAAAAGTGGCATTTAATTCGGTGTCACATAAGTGGTTATAGAACAAGCCAAACACCACAAGTATCCCCAAAAGTCTGTTAAAACTTATAATGAATCTTTATTCTGGAAATGTGGCACATGTTAAGCTAAATAATGAAGGACTTGTGTCCAACCCAATAACAAATCAAAGAGGGGTACGACAAGGGTGTGTTCTTGCTCCACATCTATTTAATTTATACTTGAATGACTTTGTTCTAGACTGCAAACTATATCTACCCATGCACCTTATATTGGATCTTATCTGGTACCAGCTCTGCTATATGCCGATAACTTAGTGCTGATATTGAAATTTGCATTGGGCTGAAATGTTCAATAAGAGCCTTTATTGCTTATTTTGTATGGCTCCCCAATACGGTTCACAGGTCCGGTAGACCTTTTGGAAAGATCTCTAACCTTTTATCGCAAAATGTTATCTCTGCCGCCATCTATCACTTCTTCAGTGATACATTTAGAGTTAGGGTTACCAAGGATCTTGACCTTGATTTGGAAAGCTATAGTCAACTATAAATATATTGTTGACTGCTGAAAATCTTCCATCTTTGACTTCTTTATCAGTACAAGATCAACACTGGCAAGAATGGAATAAGGCTGTGGACACAAAATTTAAACAACTAGGCATGCATAAAACAGGGAACTTAACATCTAAAATTAGAACAGTGCTCAACATAAAATTAATGGAGCAAGACTGAAATGCGTTACAAAGAGATGCCACACGGAAATGCTCATTACTTTATGTGGGGATTAAATACTGCGTCAAATTTGACGTACCACACTATTTGTATGCTCTATCTGTCCCTAAGTTGAGAAGAGCATATATGGTGGCATGTTGCAATGCATTCCCATCTGCACAGATGAAAGGTCATTTTCAGGGCATCCCAGCAAGTCAACATCACCATGACTGCCCATTAGCAACTATAGACTCACTTGCCCATATATTTTTCTGTTGCCCAAAACATGAAATTGCGAGAAAAAAGTTCCTGCGGAAATGGTTATTAAAATTTTCTTCCTTTTCAGAATCTACAAGGTTGAGATTTTTGCTGAGTACTTTGTGCCATAAATGTATAAAAGATGTGGCACACTTCTGTTATACTGTCTTTTTAAATGTCTAAAACCTTTTAAAAGTTTAAATTAATTTTTATGGTGTATGGCCTATAGGCTTTTAAACCTCATAAACTGAATTGAACAGAAGCAGCAGCAGTTCCCTATAGCTCCTGTGTGATTGCAGGGAACACCATGTTGTGTGAAGAAAGGTAATGTCTAATTTGCCTCTTAGGGGGATAGGGTTGCCAAGTCCATCTTCCACCCACAGTGGGGGACTTTGGGGGCGTTCCTGGAGGGGGCGGGGCGTCCCCGATGTGATGATGTCACGTTGGAGACGTCCACCACCACCACCCCGCCCCGGATCTCCAGAAACGGCAGTTCCCTGCACTTAAAGGAGCCGGTGTTTCCCTTTTAAGTGCAAGAGCCGGCGTTTCCCCTTTAAGAACCGGGGGGGGGGTTGGCAACCCTATAGGGGGAGGGGGGAGAGAGGCTCCAGGCTTTCTTGGTTGACTGTAAGCTGCAGTCAGTAGGACTGCATATGTGTGAAGTGTTCCAGTCCTGTAAGGTATGGGATGGGACTTGAAAGCTGATGTCCCCATGCCTGTTGCTTTCTGTCTGTACGTGTGTGAGAGAGAAAGAGAGAGAGATTTGCACTTTGCAGATTCTTGTGCCAATTAGAGTGACTGTCTATGCTTAGCTTTCCCCCTGAAGATAGTTTCTGTTTGGTCTGTTGCGTTCTCTGAAGCAATTTTAGAAATGGGAAAAGATACCTAGTGATTGGTCATACTAGTGGTATAACAATTATTAATCTTTTTAAAGCTCTCAACACTTCTGGGGGTGATGGCTTTTCATGGCACGATAGCAATACATCAGCTACTGGTCTTTTAAAAAACCTTCAAAAATCTTTCTGGTGGCAATAGATGGTTGTAGCGCTATAAGATTTTTTTAAAATGCTCACAAGTCCCTCCACCAGTTGTGGCAAGAAAGAAAGTGCCGGAAAAAGGACACTCAGGAGTAGCTGATGGCAGGAAAGTGATTCCAATGGGGGCAGGACCTTTGCAGGACATCAAATACACAGCTATCCAATTAGATGGTGCACTAACATGCTTGGACTACGCCAGAGGTGTCAAACTCACTTGTCATTAAGGCTGGATCTGACATAAATGTCACTTTGTCAGCCGGGGCATGTGTACCATAAAACATAATGCCAGGTAGCAGAGATATAAACTTTATAAAGGACATAGACAAACACAATTAAAGATATTATAGCAGCTATTCCATTGGAGCCCCACATCAGGAGAGCATGTGTGTTAAAACTAATATTTCTCTGCAAAACTGAAGTTCCTTGAGTTTGTTGAACTCTGTATTTTACCTGTGATTAGTCCCAAGCCTTCCCCACCCACCCCCCTTAGAAATATAAACTACAAATATAAATGGTCTGAGCCTAGGACCCAAGGGAAGAACATGCAACAGCTGAGCATTGCACGCTACCCCCCACCCCTGGTCTACTCAGAGTGGCAGTAGCTCTCCAGGGTCTCAGGGTTTTTTTTTGACAGGGTGGTTTGAGATAATAATTTTGAATGTCCTCTTCAGCACTTGTTCTGCTATTCCATTGGAGCTCCACATTAGGAGGGTGTGTGTGTTAAAACTAGTTTTTCTCTGTAAAACTGGAGTCCCTTGAGTTTGCAGAACTCTATATTTTAACCCTGGCTGGTCCCAAACCTCCCCCCCCACCACCACCTTTAAAATGTGTCTGCCTAAACTGGAAAGGTGGGGGAATAGTGGGATTCTGCTAAACCAGCTTTAAAATAAAAAAGCACAAGGATCACAGCAGAAGAAGGGCCCCCCCCCCCCAGCTCCTACCTGTGACAAGGACTACAGAAGCTGGGAGCGGTTGCTGTGAAGTCTGGCAGTCCCGCCTTCTACTTCCTGCTCTCAGAGGCAGCCCAGCCCTCTGCTCTTTATACTCCCTGGCAGCTCAAACTGAGAACAGCGAAGATGGGCAGGGGAGGGGGGAAAGAAAAGAGCTCCACTCCCGGGCCAGATTAAAGGCCTGCGCAGGCCAGCTCCAGCCCACGGGCTGTAGGTTTGACACCCCTGGTATAAAGGACAGCAGCTGGTAAGCTTCAAGTTGTTGTATCCTCACGGCAAGGCCCCATGGGCTGGGGGGGGGGTGTGCAAAGGAAAACCCGTATCGGTGGACTGGAGAGCCAGAGGTGCAGCACTGGGCAGATGGTCCCACACTGCTTGACTGCTGTGAACAAGGTTGTTCCGCCATGCTGAAGCCACCATCAGAACAGTCTCCTGTTTCCTCCCTTGCACTAGTTGCTTCTGGGCCACATTAGAGCCCTGGATGGGCTGGTTCTGGCCCCCGGGCCTTATGTTTGGCACCCCTGGACTACATTATTTCCAAAAATACTGGAGTAACTCGAGTTTGAAAAAGAGTTGTTATGTAAAGTTAACCTGGATATAGACGTAGATTTATTATTTATGGGTGTATTGGGAAACCATAGAATTGAGAAACAAAATCAGGATATTTTTAAAGCAATGATATTAACAGCGCATGCATTGATTGCATATGGTTGGAAGGAGAACTCAAAATTGACTTTAGAAAAATGGAATGAATGTCTATACGAATATATACAATTGGACATATTGGAATGTTTAAAGCAAGATAAGCTATGGACTGCAAAAAGAAAGGAGATAAAAAAGAAATGGACGGTATACTTTGAATGGGTTTATAAAGGGGAAGCCAACATATTTGGGAAGTTGGAAAGAATGCGCTCGTGGTTGAAAATGTAATTCGAAAATATGATGTTGGCCACCTTGGGGGGGTAAAAGAAGTATCAAAAATTGGAATTAAATTGTAATGTAATAACAATATTGTGATACAATAAAAATATACATTAAAAAGGCCCCCCCCCCCCCCCATCTCCTCTCATTTGCAACTGAAAGCCAACAGAGGAAAACACCTCCAGGGGAAAAGAGATTATGTTTTTATATGAACAAAGTTGAGTCCAGTGGCACCTTTAAGACCAACAAAGTTTTATTCCGGGTATAAGCTTTTGTGTGCACGCACACTTCTCCAGATACAGACTGAAGAAGCGTGCTTGCCCTGAATACGGCTTTGTTGGTCTTAACGATGCCACTGGACCCAGACTTTGTTCTGAATCTATGTACTTATATGTCTACTATAGCACAGTATGGAGATTTGAAGGGAAGGGATAGAGAGGGAATTTAAACTCCCTCTTCTCTGTCCAGCTGTCCAGTTCCTTCTTTGCAATCAGTACGGCGTTGCCCAGAGGTATTCGAATGTGGTTTTGAGCAGCACCTTTTCCTCAGTGTTGAGAAAATGTGGTGCAAATGCCAGATGCAGAATCACCCAGGAGGGTTTACTTCTTCTTTCGCCTTCCTTGAGCCACCTCCTCCTCCATTTGCAAGGTGGGAGCCACCTTTCCAAACCCTTCCCCCTCTGGAGCTCCAGACTGCATGCCTTGCATTGCCTGACTTGGTTAAAATGGAGTTTAAACCATAACGTTCTGGAAACACAACAGATAGCCACTCAAACCGGAACATTTATTTTTTATTATATATTTTTTAAAATCAAAAGGAAAAATGTCAGGTGTTTTTGGCTTTAAAATTAACAAAACTCTTTCAAATGCAAAAGCAGCATTTTAAAACTGCTGTAACTGAGTCATGCCTTGCTGTCTAGTCTCGGCCAAATTTCATATGTTTGGGCCTTATTCTAAGAGAATGTTGAAAGAACCAAGTCATCTTCTTCCTCTGGCCCCATATTCTGATTTCCCTTTTTCCTCCCCCTGTATCGCTATTTGGAGCCTGTTTGGGCTCTCCTTTTTAAAAAAATCTCCTGTTTGAAACCCTGTTGTGTGAAGGAAGGAAGAGCCTAATTTGACTCTTGGGGGGAGGGGGGGGGAGAGGCTCCGGGCTTTCTTGGTTGACTACAAGCTGTAACTAGTAGGACTGCATATGTGTGAGGTGTTTCAGTCCTGTAAGGTATGGGATGGGACTTGAAAGCTGATGTCACCATCAGCACGTGCCCCCCCCCCCCCACAGCTAGCAATCCAAAAGAGTCCAGTGGAGCCTGAGCGGTGGGGGTTGCCTTCTGACACACTTCCGGTGATGTCAGGGGGTGTGGCATATGCAAATAAGTTATGCTAATGAGCTCCTGCACCTCTTTTTCTATGAAATGAACCCTGATTATAAGAATTAAATTTTTTTAAAAATGCTCACAAATCTCTCCAGAGGTTGTGGCAGGAAAGAAAATGCCTGGAAAAGGACACTCAGGAGTAGGGCTGATGGCAGGAAAATGCTTCCAATAGGGGCAGGACCTTTGCAGGATATAAAATACACAGCTATCCTTTTAGGTGGTGTGCTAATATGCCTGGGCTACATTATTTCCAAAAATACTGGAATAACTCAAGTTTGGAAAATAGTTTATGGAGTTCAGGGGTAAGGAAAAGCTGGAAAGAGGGTGATTATAGCATGATATCACATGGAAAGGCTCCACCCCCCATATCTCCTTTCATTTGCAACTGAAAGCCAACAGAGGAAAAAACCTCCAGGAGAAAAGAGATTATGTTCTTATATGAACAAAGTTTGAGTCCAGTGACACCTTTAAGACCAACAAAGTTTTATTCTGGGTATAAGCTTTTGTGTGCATGCACAACTAGACTCAAACTTTGTTCTGCTACTACAGACCAACACGGCTACCCACCAATGTTCCCTCTAAGCTGAGTTAGTGTGAGCTAGCTCACACTAACTCAGCTTAGAGGGAACACTGCTACCCACCTGCATCTACGTTCTTATATGTCTGGTACATCACAGTGTGGAAATTTGGTGGGAAGGGATAGAAAGGGAATTTAAACTCCCTCGTCTCTGTCCAGCTGCCTCTTCATTCTTTTGTTCACAGGGTTTACTTCTTCTTTCGCCTTCCTTGAGCCACCTCCTCTTCCATCTGCAGGGTGGGAGCCACCTTTCCAAGCCCTTCCCCCTCTGGGGCTCCAGACTGCATGCCTTGCATTGCCTGACTAGGTTAAAGTGGAGAAGTTCGAACCATAACACTCTGGAAACACAACAGATAGCCACTGAAACATTTATTTCTTATTATATATATATATTTTAGAAAAGGAAAAATGTCAGGATGTTTTTTGCGTGGAAATTAACAAAATTCTTTCAAATGGGGATTTGCAAAAGCAATGTTTTAAAACTGCTGTAACTGAGTCATCATGCCTTGCTGTCTAGTTCCTCTCTGTCAAATTTCATAACAAAAAGATTGTTTGGGCTTTATTCTAAGAGAATGCTGAAAGAACCAAGTCATCTTCTTCCTCTGGCCCCCTTATTGTGCTCTCCCTTGCTAGTTCCACTTCAAAATCTAGATGCCACCATATCCCAGGTAAGCTGCAGAGATCTTGGATGCCCTTCAGATTGAGTTCCAAATAGGGTAGGGCTACCCTAATCAGACCAAGAAGTTACGAGGCATGCAGCAAAGGGGCCGAACCTCCATCACCTGTGAATGATTGTTTGGCCAATGAGATTAAATGTGCACAGGATTGCAGCCATAATCTTGCCCTGTCACCTGTTCTTTGCTTCCTCCAGGTGAAAGATGGCTGTGCAATGCAAAAAGTCAGACGTGGTTAAAGCCCTGAAGAATATCTGCAAAGCTGAAGAGGTGCGCAGGGAGACGGAACTGATGATGAAGCCATATGCCAACTGGGAGGAGTATCTAATGCCCGGCCCCATCTCAATTGCCATTTTAGGGGAGCTGGCATGCATCTCAGCAGGGCAGGGAGATTTCTCCATTAACAAGAATCCACCTGCAGGGGGGTTTAAATACATCAAATACCCAGACTCATTCCTCACCTGCCTGATGCAGGTGAGCAACAAGGGCTGGGAGGCCTTTAACATCGCTCACAAGAATATGGACCAGATCAGACTCCTCTCCATGAGTGTCCCAGAGCAAATGAAAATCATTGTCCAGATTCTGTTCCAGGACACAGAGGTGGTGCAGGCCCTGCTCCCTGGGCAGCTGACCAGCATGAAATCCATTGCTGATGAATGCACTTCTTTAGCCTTGACAGTCGAGAACAAATTCAGTGATGTCATCTGCCTGATCCAAGAAATGCTGGAAGCCTGTTTGAGTTCAAAAAGCGGGTACGAAAAAGAGCTGGAAGAAACCAAACGGGTCTTGGAAGGCGTCAAGCTCAAACAAAAGGCAGCAGAAGCAGCCAAGAAGGAGGCAGAGGGATACTACAGGAGCATAAGACAGAAAGTGGATGAAACATACCAGGATTACAGGAAGGCAATGAATAGCATTCCAGAGGGCTGGGACGCCGTAGCTATGAATTTTGTTGCAGGTCTAACAGAAACCATTACCACCCTGCCTCGTGTAGTTGCTAATTTGTGTAAATACCATGTTGAGGAAAGAGAGGACAGTAGCGGCAAGTCAAACGGTGGAGCTGAAGATGACCCCATCGCACTGGGCAACATTTGCTCCCACTCTGTGCAACTGGCATCATTGGGGAATGCTCTGAATCAGCTGGTGGACGAAGAAGGCAACATTAACATGGGCCTCCTTTACAACGAGAAAAACCAGCAAGTCAAGTCCTCTTGGACAAAGGAAACAGCTGAGCAGCTGCTAGAGAAGATAAGTAAAGAAAAGGATTGCAGCGTGAAAGGAATGGCGGAGGAGATATGTAATTCTGTCATTAGTGTCTGTCAGATCCTGGCTGAAGTAGCAACTTCTGGGAACAAAAATGTAAAAGAGAAAAGCCTGAAAGAAAAAATTAAAAATCTAGTGCAAAAAGTTGCTCTCTTTGACAGCAAGAGCAAATCACGCACAGGGGCACCACCTTTTTCTCCCAAGACACCCAACATGGCAAAATATGAAGATAATTGTCAAGGGGGAATGGATGGATCAGTACTGATGACCAATGCCCATTACAAAGTCTTGCAAAGCAAAGAAATGCTAAAGATCACAGAAGATGAGTACCAAAGGAGCTTTGAAAACTTCAAGAAGCAGAATGAGGAGTTGACAGAGATACTCATTGCCATGAGGTCATGTGAGACAAAGGAGATTGACTTTGATACAGCCAGGAAGATGCTAATCAAAGGCTTGGATGCTTTGGGATGAGTGAAGGAGCAGTGGGAGAAGATGGTCCGTTTCTTTCAGATGATTTCCAGCCTCATAGATTCCTGCCTCAGCCGTCGCATTGCAGAATTTGTAACCACCGCTGGAAAGGTCCGTGGGATTGCAAACTACTCCAGCAATGATTTCGTAAAAGACCTGATTTACAAGCAGGCGTTCAATGCTTCCAATGTGGCTCATTTAGTGCATATGATATCCGAGACCTACACGGAAGTATCTTCCAAATACCTGATGGACAAGGTCAGTAGCCTTGGCAGGCTTATCTCCATGGAGCCTTCCGATCCCAAATTCCAGGCCGAGCGCCTGAAGTTAGCAGCAGGATGTGATGATGCTCGACAAGCGATAGAGGATCTGGTTGTGAAGAAGAAGAGAGAGTTTGAGAGCAACATCCGGGCCAGAGTGGAGAAAATCGATTGTGAGCTGCTGGCTGTCTTGCCCGAAGTGCCCCAAGCAGAGAAAAAAGCAATTGAAGATATTGTACAGAAGGGGATGAGAGACATGACTCTGCAGGATGTCAACCAGTTCATCTAGAAGGGTATCTCAATTCTCGGTTGCCTTTGCCACGAGCTGGAGCAGTCCCTAATTCATTCATTTCTTTCTTTGGCCCTTTCTGCACTCTCCTTTTAATCTATGGTATTAAAGCAATTCTGCACTACAGTCGAACTCAACCTTCTTTTTAATCCAGGTTCTCCGCCTCCCCACATTCTGCACTAAAATTGAGTTCAACCTTTTTATTCTGGGTTCCCCCCCCCCCCACATTCTGCATTACATTACCTCCCTTCAGTGGTCAGCCCGGTTTCAGCCTGCTGTTGCCCCAGGTTCTTTGGATCATGCTGTTTTGCCGCAGACTTAAATTGCCTCGACTCAAACACTGAGAAAACCCAGAGTGGCAGGCAAATGCGGAAAGGACCTTTGTTTTCAAAATTCTACAAGGACAAACAGTGGAAAACATCCTTTTGTGGCAAAACAGCTCCACTGACCTGCAGGCCCTATTCCGTATTGTCTCCCAATGAGCTTTTCTCTCTCTTTCAGTTCACCCACTAAAAGGTCCAGGGGTCCCAGCCTCTGTGAATAGCTTTGGCCAGGGTCATGCCAAAGAGAATCTTCCTAGATTTATTCAGTATAAACTGGAATTTTGTCTCTGTTGTTAACAGAGTATACTAATTCTGTTTTAGACTTTAATGCAATCTTTTAGCTGTTATATGATTCAATTTAATCTAATTTTCACTCAAAAGAACTTTGCTGAATATTGGAAAGATGTAGAATATATTAAAGTGTAAATTCCCTATGGAAGCTAAGAACATGCAATTAGAAATATTGCCCAACAAATTACCAAATATATGGTGACAGTGGGTGCAATCATCTATGCAGCAAAATGGAAATCAGACATTTTGAAATTTGAGAAGAGATGGAGTGTTTATTATGCGAGTAGGAGACAAATTTAGAATGATAAATTGTTTAAAAAATGCATATAAATTGATTACAGTGCAGAAATAGAATGAGAAGAAGTTTTGAACAAAAATGTATGAGGAAGTGGATTTTGAACAAGAATATCTCTTGTTTTTTATCATATATGTGAGATATATAATAGATTTTCTATTAAGCTTTGGTAAATTAAAAGTTATAGCTAGTATGTTGAAATGGTGAAATATATAACAAAGAATATGCAATAACAAGAAAATTAATAATATAATGGTAAAATAGATTAGTTATGGAATTTGAAATTTAAAATGTTTGAAGTAAGGACCATTGTATCCTATAGAAGATGTTTTAAAAACTATAATGAAGGGGATGTCAGGAAGAAATATTTACTGTTCCTGTTCTATATATCCTGCAATATATATATATATATTTGCATCCCTTCTAGATTATATTTTGCTTTCTAAAATCATGTGTGTATAAAATTTTAGAAAGTAAAATATAACATAGAAGGGATACAAAAAGAAAAGAGGGACTATATAACAATCTCTCTCTCTGTATACAACTTTACTGAATATTAATCATTTCTTAAATCTGAAAAAATAGTTTATTATTCTTCACTATTGTAACTTGCATTTTTTCCCCTTTTAACTTGGTCTGGTTTTATGATTTCATTAGCATAATGATGTTCTACACTAGAACCTAAGGGTGGTTCACATACCCAAGAAATGCCCTTGATTTGAATCCCCTGAAATCTTGCCAGCTGGCACAAGGAAGAAAAACAGGTGGAGGGGGCACCACCCCTAAATGCCCCACTGTGGCCACGGGACTGCTGCCAAGTTTTCTTGTAAAAAATAAAATGCTCAATAAAGGCGTTTTAAGTGCCAACAAGGGTGTTTATGATTTGTAGTGTATGCATTTTAAGTGCCAACAAGCCGTTCCTGATTTACAGTGACCCTATGAATTAATGACCTTCAACACATCCTATCTTTAACAGCCTTGCTCCGGCTGCCTTCAACTTTTCCTTGCGTTATTGTCTTTTCCGGTGAGACTTGTCTTCTCATAATGTGACCAAGGTATGATATCTTCAGTTTAGTAATTTTAGCTTCTAGAGACAGTTCAGGCTTGATTTGATCTAGAACTAGGGTTGCCAAGCTCCAGGTGGTAGCTGGCGATCTCTTGGAATTATTATTCATTGGACTACTATTTGCACTTTTGGTCACCACACCTCAAAAAGGATATTATAGCATTGGGAAAAGTGCAGAAAAGGGCAACTAGAATGATAAAAGGGTTGGAACACTTTCCCTATGAAGAAAGGTTAAAGCGCTTAGGGCTCTTTAGCTTGGAGAAACGACGACTGAGGGGTGACATGATCGAGGTTTATGAGATTATACATGGGATAGAGCAGGCAGAGAAAGAAGTACATTCCCCCCTTTCTCACAATACAAGAACTCGTGGGCACTCAATGAAAATCCTGAGTAGTCAGGTTAGAATGGATAAAAGGAAGTACTTCTTCACTCAAGGAGTGATTAACACATGGAATTCACTGCCACAGGAGGTGGTGGCAGCTACAAGCATGGATGGCTTCAAGAGGAAATTGGATAAACATATGGAGCAGAAGTCCATTGGGGGCTATTAGCCACAAGGCATAGATAGAAACTCTCAGTCTGGGACAAGTGATGCTCTGTATTCTTGGTGCTTTGGGAGGGGCAACCGTGGGAGGACTTCTAGCGTCTTGGCCCCACTGCTGGACCTCCTGATGGCACCTGGTATTTCTGGCCACTGTGAAACAGAGTGTTGGACTAAATGAACCGTTGGCCTGATCCAACACTGGCTTCTCTTATGTTCTTAGCCAGTCTCCAGGAAATAGAGATATGTTCCCCTGGAGAAAATGTCTGCTTTCGAAGCCAGACTTTATGGCATCAAACCCTGCTGAGATCCCTCCCCTCCCCAAGCTCCAACCCCAAACTCTCCATGTATTTCCTAACTCAGAGCTGGCAACTCTATCTAGAACCCACTTATTTGTCTTTTTTGGCTGGTTCATGGTATCCATAAAACTCTCATCCAAAATTGCATTTCAAATAAATCAACTTTCTTCCTGTCAGCTTTCTTCATTGTCCAATTTTCACACCCATACACAGTAGCGGGGAATACTAAGGCATGAATTATCTTGATTTTGGTCGCCAGCAACATATTCCTTATTGTTGATGATGGAGCTGAGAAATAGCAACACTTGAACAATTTCAGTTTCTTCATTGTCAACCATAAAGTAATGTAACTCCTCAGTAGTCATTACTTTTATCTTCTTGATGCTCAGCTGTAATCCTGATTTGGCACTTTCTATTTTAACCTCCATTAGTAGTCATTTCAGGTCTTCACTATTTTCTGCCAGGAATGTGGTATCCTCTGCTTATCTCAAACGGTTAAAGTTTCTTCCACCAGTTTTCACTCTACCTTCATCAAAATCGAATCCATTTTTCCTTATGTCCTGCATAAAGCTTGGATAAGGAGATAAAATACTTCCTTGTCTGACACCTTTGCCAACTGGCAGTGTACAGTGGGACTATGACATCTTGCAATTTGGATGTTATGCTTTTGTTGATACATCCCAAGATCGCATTAGCCTTTTTTGTCACTGCATCACACTGGCTGCTCATTTTTAACTTATGGTCCACCCGTACCCCAAGATCTTGTTCACACACACTGCTATCCAGTATGGTTGATCCTCATGTTTGTTACCCAGATGTAGAATATGGCACTTACCCTTGTTAAATTGCAGCTTGTTCACATCCACCCACTTTTCCAGCGTGTTCAGATCTCGTTGAATTCTCTCTACCTTCTGGTGTGTTCGCTGCTCCTCCCAATTTGGTGTCATCTGCAAATTTAATGATTAGCCCCTCCACACCCTCATCCAGATCATTTATAAAAAATACTGAAAAGTACCAGGCCCAGAACCAAGCCCTGTGGCACCCCACTGGACACCTCCCTCCATTCAAATGAAATGCCATTGACAACTTCTCTTTGAGTGCAGTTCTCCAACCAGTTCCCGATCCACCTAACTATCCTAGAGTTTACCCATCAGGACATCATAGGGAACCCTGCCAAAAGCTTTACTGAAATCCAGGTAAACAACTTCAACAGCATTCCCCCGATCCAGTAAGCTCGTCACTTGATCAAAGAAGGAAATGAGGTTGGTCTGGCAGGACCTGTTGGGGACAAATCCATGCTGACTTCCCTGGACTATATTATACATAGTTTTCTTGTGTGTGTGTGTGTGTATTACACAGGACTATATTTACCTATTCCAGAACAGAGATTTGTGAAAAGTGAGCAAAATGAACCAGTGTTCCTCTCAGAGAAGAATCACCCAACTTTGTGTTGGGGGTGTAAATTTAGTGGATGTCCAGATAACGTTCATGTGAAAATATCTGTTGTGTTTGGTGACTTCTAATTGCCAGGACAAGAAAACTTTTACAAAGAATGTTATGGGGTTAAAATGGTTTCTGCTATAGACTCACATAGGATAAGGGAAGGCAAAGAAATTGCACTGTATTTTATTTGGTGTATTTTAACTGTTTTTAATTGTTCGTATATTATATTTGATGGAATCCACCCTGAGCCCGCTATGTGGGGAGGGCGGAATACAAATCCAATAAAACAAACAAATAAAGTGGGGAAAATGGGTTAGTTGTAGTGCCTTTTCTGAGAAATCAATCTTTGACACTTGATGGATTTAAAGAGGGAAGAGAGCTGCCAGAGGCCAGACCTTTCTGGCCGTTATTTGATGGCACACATTTCATGTGACTGTAGGACCTATTTTGATCCCGTCTCCAGACCAGGGAAGAGTCTAGAGCAAGTGATCCTGTGAGATGCTAAGAAAGAAGGCTGCCTGCATGACCTGTTTCTAGGTACTAGACTGTCCGTCCAAGGGAGGAGGGGTCATCCAGGCATAACACATGGTAATTCTTCCAGTAAAGCATATGCTGTTTCCCTTTCAGGACAATGGGGATTTTCAAACTTACCACATAGAGTTTCTGAACAAAGTTTGAGTCTAGTGGCATTTTTAAGACCAACAAAATTTTATTCTGGGTATAAGCTATCATGTGCATGTACACTTCACCTCTTATTTCTGGCAATCGTTACAGCTTTCCTTATCCATTCTGGGTTGCTCTAGGAATCGCCAGAAACTCTATGGACAGAAATTCTAGCAAGTAGATGAAACTATTC